CGGCCTTTGCGTAATAATATTGTTTATTGTTTTAATTTAAGGTGTCGTATATTCAAGTTTGAAAGCATATTACAAAAGATACTTTTATTCTTTATAGATTTATCTTTAATTTGAGTACTTAATTTTAATTGTGCTACTTTTCATTATTAAGTAATATGACTAAACGTGAAGACACAATTTTCGGATTTTTTACTTGAGATTAGAATACACATTAGAAGTGGAATGTAGAAGTAACAACTTTGTGCTTATAATAATTTTCATTTTGAAGTAATAGGGTGAAAAGTAGAGATACTTTATTTAAAGTTTGTGATAATAGTTGAAATTATGAAAATTAACAATTTTGATAAAATAATATTTTCTGTCTGTTTTTCTTTACTTCTTGTTTCCAACATCCCAATTATATAGTACAAAAAATAGTACAAGATTGCATAATTTCCAAGCCTGAAATTATACCGAAACGTTCGTTTATTCCTTTCATTTTTGGTTTATGTTCTCATATTCTTTTATTGTTTATTCTTTTTTTTTTATTTTTTGTACATTTTTGGCCGTAAGCTTATAGCAATTTCCGCTTTGAAATGTCTGACACATTATTTACACGCTCGCTTTAACGTGATTTGTTCTTGCGCGCGCTCGTTTTTTCGTACGTAATTATTGTTATTAAATTCGTTTCGTCTCGTAACGTGTTTTTTTTTCCTCTCGTTGTTTGTTTGTAGTCTCTCTCTCAGTTTCTTTTTGTGCGTTCCTAATTTGATTTCGTCGCCAATCAAAACTGGCTCGCGGCTGAACAGGTTTTCGTGTTCACCGTTATTCTCTATTTCTATTCCAATTGAAAACGCCTAATTTATAATTTACGCAATGGAATCGTGTTATTATTGTTTCATTCGTGCGGTCTATGTTTTTTTTTTTCATTACTTTTTTTTGTCGAAGTGTTATTAATGGATAATTTAGTTGATTAATATTTAATTTTTACATTCGTCCTTTGCGTAATAATATTGTTTATTGTTTTAATTTATATTATATATTGATTGTAGTATGTTCAAGTTTGAAAGCTACTTTTAATCTTTATAGATTTATCTTTAATTTGAGTACTTAATTTTAATTGTGCTACTTTTCATTATTAAGTAATATGGCTGAACGTGAAGACACAATTTTCGGTTTTTTTTTTATCTATAATTACTTGAGATTAGAATACACATTAGAAGTGGAATGTAGAAGTTACAACTTTGTGCTTATAATAATTTTCATTTTGAAGTAATAGGGTGAAAAGTAGAGATACTTTATTTTAAGTTTGATTGCATATTGTGAGAATACCAGAAGTGATGCAACTGTGATCGTAAACTCATTTTAAACGTTATGTATTTAATGCCGCAGCAGAGGTCGCAACTGTTGAAACAATCGAATGTCCGATTAGATAATGCTATTAATTAGACTTATCTATTACAATGAGGGTGATTGTATACAACAATCGCGTTCGATTGTAATGCGCTGATGTTGACGTTACGGTGTCTCGATGTTACGTGCGTCTGTCAGGCCATCCGATCGGTATTTCATGCAAGAACGTTTTTGGTCTGCGTCCGGCCGTCGTAAATAACGGACAAAACCACCTGTTAAAACGCGACACAAACTAGAAATCGAATCATCGCAAAAGCAGATGCATGTTGTACGTACACGTACAATGGATGAGGGTGTAATGCGGAGACGGAATATTGATTGCGCGCAATGAGGGTGTTCTTGCGCGGGGGTGCGGCGCGGAGGGTGGCGTCGCGACGACGAATAACGACGCGCGTAAAAACCCGTTATTAATCAATCCATCCATCCATCCTTCCAAACATCCATCCAGCAGACAGACCGACGCTACCAGCCTTTTTACATCAATTACATCAATAGGCGGCGGCGGATCTCCTACTAAAAGCATGCAAATCATCCGCGATGATGACTTGCTTGTATCGAATGGCTTTCTTGAAAAATTGATGTAAACGATTTAATTTGAAAATTAAAAACGATTTGAAATTTTCATGTTTCACCATCAATAATCTTACCAACATAATTAATCCAAATATTCCAAAGAATTAATATTGAGTGATTTCCCAACAGGGTTTTTAACGTAAGACTTGTAATAAGTGCAAATACAATTGCATCTGAAAACGTACGAGACAGCTGCCAACCATCTCCTACGCGTTTCCATCCATAATCGTTACATTTACATCGTGTTTGTTTGTGTTGTACACGGATACTAGTTTCATCTATTATCCTGTAAACTCGCTTTTCTTTTGGGGGGGTTTTTGGGACAAAATGAAGCTATTGATTTTGGCTAAAAGAGATGGGACGAGCAGTAATTACGTAAGAGGAGATGACGCGTTTTGTTTCCGACGTTAATTACGCAATGCATCAATGCGGGAGGAAGATGAGTCGGATGGTGAAATAGGAGGAGGGGTGTTAGAGGAACGTTTGCAGTCAATTAGGACAAGGGCCGAGGGCAACAAACATACATACTATATATCTTGTGTAGCATCTGTCCTAAGCTTTGCTGAATCAATAAGGATCTATTTATATGTAGGTTGGGGTGCCTATACGTCCTCTTTATCCGCACAAAGTGTGCCGTGTAATTTCAAATGTTCTGGTTAAAAATAGACGCAGAGTGCATAGGAACTACAGCGAACCAATTACACGATACATATTTTTATTCATTGTAGTTTAATAGCAGTTAAAACTCGAAAATACTTCAGTTCTAAACATTAGCCAAATTTCGTTTATCAATTTTAGAAAGATTGAATTCACTTTAAATAGGCTTCAATTATTATATAATTAAATTAATTTTTTCAACTGAATTATCATTGATTTAGTAATTATAGAAATATAGAATATATTCAATGGAGTAGACGAAATTGAAATTTCACGAATATTAAATCCTATTGGATTATTATGTATTAGATGTTGGACAGACTTCGTGTTTCATCTGCGGCTAATTAAGCACAGAATCCTTGCATATTTGAAACGATTCGATTTTCCCGTCGACTGACTCCGAAGGAGTGATTTCCCCGGAGTAGAAGCGGAGTGAAGATAGTGAACCGCCTGAAAGATTTAGTAGTTTGAAATAACACACACACACAGAGATAAGTACACGCAAACAGCGAAAGTACGAATTATGTAAGCGCCTTAAAGCCACCTTTTAATCCGTCGTTGCGGCGTTATTTCCTTTCCAACTTCGTCTTCTCTCCCAAAAGAAAAACATTAGCAAACCATGGCAGTCTTACGTATTTTCTTCGAGACTTTTCTTAGAGAAAATTACGAAAATGCACGAAAAGAAAGTACTGTAAGCTGCTTAGTTGTTCGGAAAACTTCGCAATTCATTGCATAATAATCGGATGGACGGTTGAATAATAAAAGTTCGAAGAAGGAAAATAAGAAATTTGTTGCAGGTAACAAACAAAGTGTGCGAGAGGATCAATCCTTTCGGAAAAGAATTTGAAAGCCATAAATATTCCAAATCGAGAATCACTTAAGATAATTAAATCGGTAGGAAACGGGAAACATTACAATTTTTAATTGGATGAAACGATCGTTAAGTTTTCGTGAATTTCTCGAACTTTTCCCGATCTTCGTTATATTTTTTTCCCTTCGTATATAACGCTGTTGCATTTTAACCTGTCGCAATTAATTGTGATTTATGATGGAGAGAGGATGGGGATGAAGAGAAGGCTAAGTGTTGTCCGAAACGCGATCGCCGCTTCGTGCTTGTATAATTCATCGTCCGGAATAGGAAGAGGCGCATCTTTCTTTTCCCACCCGTATTTTCAACAATCGCTTCACGTAATTAGTTCAGAATGAATCACCGTCTTACAACATCAGTTTAATTTTTGTAGTCTTACGATAAACTACAAATGTATTTTTGAACTTATATGAATCATTTGTGATTATAAATCAATTGTAATGAAAACTACAAGTAAATTATGTTTAATTGCATTTATATTATTACTATTATAGAAATTATCGAAAATTGGAAATACTTAATTATGATAAAGTACAGGTGGAATTAGAGTGAAAGAACGTATTGAAATATTAATGTTTCTTTTAATGGATTGGTAACCTTTTTTTGGGGTCAACGTACTTTGATGGATGATGTATATTATCAAGAAGATAATTAGAATTATCATAATTTTAACACAGAATCTAGTTTTAATTGTAAAATTTAGGAATTAATGCAAAGTAATTGTTAATGTGTGAATATTTTGCGTTGATCGTTGCTTCGTTTCTGAAACTGAACTGAACTGACAACCTTTGCGCTTTCGATCGAGTCTATCTCACTTTCCCCTCTACGCGATCTTCGGCTATAAATAAGCGTTTGAATTATGCGCGGAGAGAAGAAAAATAGTGCGATAAACACGTCTAAATGGTCGGAGATGATGATTCTGCTACAGAGAGATGCGGGAGGAGGAGTAGGAGGATGATGTCGCATGATGTGTTTCTTGTTGAACGCCCACCGAAACTGCCAGCACTGCTATAAATAAACAGAAGTTTTGCAGGAAACAAATACGTTCCGAAAATACGTCCTCGCGCGTCCCGTGCATTGTAAATGACCACCACCAACTATCACAGCAGCTCTGCACTAGATTTATGTAGGGCGATGCGACCTGTATTCTGCTGCCTTCGAATGCTGAATACACGCTAATTTTCGCTACTTCTTACGATATTTTTAGATCAGAATGAAAGACGCAGATAGTGCGAGAACGCAGTGCAAGTTCAAGGGCGGAAGAAACCCGTCACGCGTAAATAAATATCGAAATGAAAACAAATATTCGCATCATTATTACTATTGTTCTCTTACCCAGTTGGCTTTGGAATCATTTGGGAAGTGCTGCCAATCCAAGTGGAAACTTTACTTTGAAATTTGACTGTTTCGCAACTTGAGATTTGCATTTACTCAACGCTGTTGACGTTGGAACGACTTTTAAATGCACGATAATAATCTTGGCTTTGTGTTTTTTTTCTCTATGTTTCAGTGTGCGGTGACATTCATGGCCAGTTTTACGACCTCATGAAATTGTTCGAGGTTGGAGGTCCTCCGGCTAGTACAAAATACCTGTTTCTTGGTGATTATGTGGATAGAGGATATTTTAGTATAGAGGTAATCAAAATGAAATTTACCTATTCCTGATTATTTACGTTTTAATTTACTGTTTCAGTGCGTGCTGTACCTGTGGGCCCTTAAGTTGTGTTACCCAACAACGCTGTTCCTTCTTCGTGGAAACCACGAGTGTCGTCACCTTACCGAATACTTCACTTTCAAACAAGAATGTAAGTATTTCCCTATTCCCGCTGTTTCGTTGTCGAACGTCGCAATTAGTGCAGGGTTTCTGGGGCGAGGTTGATCATTAAAAAGTTATCTTATCCTTCGATGGTCCTCGTCCTGCTTTAATTCCGCTTGAGAAGAGCGCGAATGTTTGGCAACAAATTTCACTTGCAAATAGAAAAAAAAAATATATAGATGAATAATACTTTATAAAATCAAGGATCAAAGAATGCATAATGCATTTTTTCTCTCTCTATCCCCACTACGTGTTTCAATTATTCGCGTATTATAAATTTTAATAAAACGAGTGGAGGAGCCGGGTTACCGTAATTTTTGTGGTTCATTATAATTCACGTTAAAATTTAAATTACTATTTTTTTTTTCATTCATTCAATTAATTTCAACCTCAGTTTTAATATTTGAGGTTTAGTCAATTTGATGTACTCGTTGCGGTAAACGAACATTTCATTATACCCAATTTTAATAGAATTCGTTTATAAAATTTGGGTCAATAATTCACTCACAAAATGTGGTTTTCTCTTTTTCATTTATGTTTACAGTTTTTCACAGATTTACATCAAATAACAATATTATATAAATTAAATCTTAAGATTAACGAAAATTAGTTTGAAAACTACAAAAAAAAAGTTATTTGTCTAGTGATTATAAATAACATCAATTTATTGGATGTTCAAGTGGAGCAGATTGCAAATTGATATTGCGAGGATGAACAATGCAAAAGAGAAATTGTGAGTTTATTTTAGCAAGGATAATCAATGCAATGTGGAAAATGCGAAATACGGAAAATCCTTTGTGCGACGCCGTGTTGCGAAATCAATAAGCAAATATTGTTGCAGCGAACAAAGCCGATCGTGTTATTGTGGACAAACATCGGTCGTTCCTGTAAACGTAACGTGTACCTCCCGATTGCGAATCCACATGTATTAATTGTACTTTAGTTAATTGAAAAAAAATAACAACACATTTTTGATGATTCAAGCTCAATCAATGGTCATAAAACACACTTAAAACATATAGGAAATGATGATTAAGGATTTTGTATCTCGATAACGACTAACTTCTCTTTTGTTATTGTTGTTCTGCAAAGAGAACAAGACGATGTTGTTGGAACTTTTCATGATTTATGGGGTAAAGTCTTTCCTCGGGCTATTTGGAACAGGAAATAACCATCAGCGTTGCTTCGCGCAGCAGTTTTTTTTCCTTATATCCCACGGGGCAGAGAGAGGCTGATGTACGACCTTTATGTGTGCTCTGCCTCATCTTGTATGAAAATTGCGACAGCAAAGTAAAAAAAAATGGAATGCAAGACAGGTCTTTTTTAATATGAAGAAAAAAGTATAGATTATTAGTTTTTTTTTTGCTTCTGTTCGTTGCGTTTTGCATGTGTACAAAGTATAAAGGTTTTCTTATATACGATAATCGAAAATAGATTTTTCTGTCCACAAAGAGGCGGATCGATGTTTTATTCGTCTCCGTGAGGTCAGCAAATTCGTTTTTACTTTTATTGTAATACAGTAAAAGACATTTAATTTGTTCAACTGAAATTGTTATTTCATTTATATCTCACATACAATACACATTGAATAATTTTAAATGTAGATTTTTCTTTTGAATTACTGTTATATCTAATCCCGTGATAATGTTTATTATATTTTGGAAAATTTATATTCAAAAGACTGAATTTATTTTTCTTAGTTTTTAACTATTTATTGATAATTTTCAAGAGAAAGCTATTAAAAACTTCGGTAATAAATTAAACGACTGCGTTTAATTAAAAATAGTTAAGTAATAGGCATCGTTTAATGAAACATAAGAAGTGTTTTAATTTAGTTTTTTTTTTGTTATGTTGCAAGAAATATTAATTAAGTTTTTACTCCTGTTATTTTATGGTGGATCTGTCGGGTTTTGTAGCAACGACACAAAAAATAGAGAGAAACAAAGTTTTATGTATGTGCGGACCATTAATCAATATTTACACGCCATAAAGTAAACATCTTTGTGCTTAATGACGACGACGCAAATTAAACACATCACCTCTGGGTGCCGTAAACACAGCAACAACAACGGCGAAAAAAGAATTTATTAGGAAAGCTCGCAATTTACTGGGGGTGACCCGTGTGAGTGTGTGTGTGTTTGTGGACGTTACACATGTACTTTTTGTGTGTGTTATTCTTGGCCGAATGAGAACATCAATGAAAAAGGGTCTGGCAGACATGAAAGAGGCCCTTTCGTCCCTCGCCCACGCATTATTTGCATTATTATTATTATACGAACGCTCGATAGAAGCTCAGAAACGGCGATATTTAATACGAAATGTGATTAAATTACATGAGAAATGTAAAACGATTTTTTTTTAAATTTATTTATACTCTTCTCATTAAAAGCTTTATTGGTAACTAAAAGTTATCGTGCTATTGATTCATTGAAAACAAAAATGTAATTGGTTTTGCTCAAAAGCTGTTTGTTTTCCATCAAAATTCGTTAACTAAATTCATTAGCAATGATTGCGCGTCCGTCATTCACTTTGGTTATCGTTTACATGGTAAATACATCCCCAAATATTTGAGCCGTGTGCAAATACGACTAGCTTGGAACTTGGAATTGGTAACGCAGTTAATATCAATAAGCTGAAATATAAATTTCATCAATTGGTTTTCCTGTTGGAAATTCGTGTTGCTCGTAAGTTTTAGTAAGCATGCACGGAGATGCCTCTCTGTATCTCGTGTGTAATCGGATTATCCGATGTTAGTTCATGTAAACTAGACCGGATCCATAGAGGTAATCGAATATCGAGTCTCTCTCTCTCTCGCAACAAGATGAGATACAAGTATCCTCTACATCCATCGTCTCGAAGCTTATTTCTTGGGAGAAAACGGAGAGAAGCAAACCGACCCTCGCTCACACCCATTCTCGAAACCCTAACATCACCCTTCCGCGCGCCCAAAACAAATTGATATTAGTCTTGCTTTTCGGTGTAATTGCATTAAACCATCTTCCATCTTCGAGATTCGTTCGTTCGTTCCCTCGAATCCAAGATTGTATTTCGCCTTAAAGTATTTGTTACAGAAAACATTAATTTGGTTTTCTTTCAATCCAATTTAAACCTCAAAGTTTAACTTTAATTATTTATATAGTATTAGCTTTGATTTTAATATGTAATGATCGATTTATCAAAATATTTCTCAATTTCATGATGCGAATGGTGAAATATTAAAATTTCTATTACTTTTAGCTTTGATCTCTACATGGAAAGATGCTAAATTTTAGCACAATTCTATTGATTTTAAGAAAAGTTTGAAAAAAATAGTCCTGTGCTTTTTCCATATTGATGTAATACGCGTTCAAAGTTGAAAAATCGAAATTAGAACGTTCGAAAAAGTAGTGTTTTCACATTTCATTGATTTACTCAAAAACTATAATAGATAGAATCAATCCAATATAAGCATATGAAAGCTGAATGTTTGGGGAATCTAGAAAGTATCGATGTAATTCGTGTTCAAAGTTTAAAAAATGCTCGAAAAAGGAATGTTTGGGGAATCTAGCAAGTATCATATATTACTGTGGTTTTAGCCGTTTGGTGTAATTCGTGTTCAAAGTTTAAAAAATGCTCGAAAAAGCAGTGTTTTACATTTCATTGATTTCTCGAAAACTATAATACATAGAA